AGTTGCTGCTGGAGCAGATGGGAGGGGGGATGCAAGGGTGCAGGAGGTACCTGAGGCCATACCTGCATCAGGGTGAGGATGTGACAGCCCTGAGCATTTCGCAGCTGGTGTCCCAGCCTTGTGGCAAGGCAGGACCCTGCAAGTGCTCTCTGTTGCATTTCAGGTATTCCCACAGATGCCAGGGGGAGCTTGGCCCCAGGAGGGGGCAATTGTGAGGGCACATCCTGCACATCATCCACTTTGGGTGAAGAGCTATTGCCACATTGCAAAGCCAAGGGCAGGAGGAAGGTGTATTTTCCAGGCAAGAGTTTGGCTCTGCTGCCTCTGTAACCGCCGAGCAGCACAGCAGCAGATTGTAAAGGGGCTCAGGGCCCTGTAACTCTATCAGGTTTGATCAATTTTTCAGTCGAGTTAGTAATACACCAGAGAGCTTGTCAACGTGCTTTATGGAGGTCTGCAAGTGCCTACCATAGCTAATCCATAAAGCTCAAATGGTTTCCTGGAAAACAGACATTTTGCTGTCATCATGAGGAGACTACTAAGCAGTGGGGGAAAAAAAATAGCAGAAGAAAAATAGGCAGAGTCTTCAGGACCTGCTTGAGCTGGGAACAAGCTTGAATACCTTGACAGGAAGCACAGGCAGCACTTGGAAGGATGGGCTCAAGGAGCTGCCGGCAGTGTCTGGCAGCCAGTGTGCAGGGAAACAGCCACCACTGCCAGTCCCACGCACCTTCAGCCTTCGTCTCTGCAACCCTTCCAACCGCCCGCCCAGAAAAAGCAGTTGTATTCTGTTCATTTTAAATGAAACATAACAATCAGGTTTTAGCAATTAATGGTGATGCAAATTAAAACACAAAACAATCCCCCCGCCTGTGCCTCTCAGTCCATAAAACATGGATTGCTATGTATTTGCAGCATTAGCTCCCTGCTTTAAGCATGTTCAGTAGGAAAGATATTTCATCACTTCAGTATTTGAATGATTCTCCCAGTTATCTGAATTCATGATTATGATGTAAGATGATTTTGCTTTCAGGGTGCTTACCAGAGCTTTTTTTTTCTCAGACTCCCCAAGACACCATGACACCTTCTCCCCTCTCTCTGCCAAACACTGAAAGCTTTCAAGAAATTGCTTTTAAATTAATTCAGATTTTTTTCAAAGCATCTCTGTGTTTTGAACCCTGGAGTGAATTTTGAAGACCCCACCGCAACACAGAAGCTGAAATTTTACCATTAAAAATGTGCTAGGAGAGCTTCTTCACATTCACCTGAGTCAGGGACTGGGAATTAGTAAGAACACTAAATATCCTGACACTTAGGATGAAATAATAAGAGTGGGTGCCCACTGCAGAAACCCAAAGTGAATGGAGGTCAGAGCTGAAGAGTACTGTGTAGCTGGAGCCCTCCTCACTCCTTACCCCTGTAGCATTGCGTCTTCACTGCATAGATTCCAGCTCCCCATATGTGCTCATGTATATCTGCATCTATAGAGTGCTTCTGCCCTAGAGAGCAGGACTGATCCTGCCTACCCCTCTGCCAAACTGATCTTTCTGATTCTATCTATCTCTCTTCTTCATAGGAGAAATATGGACTTCAAAAGAAGAGAAAAAATAATTGCCCAGAGACTTGACTATTGTGCCCAAAGAAAATCTGCTGGCTTTTTTCCACAGTAACTGTTCCAAAGTACGGCCATTTTTCAGAGATTACCAGTTTGCTGAATACCCTTTTTTCCTCATAGTGTTCAATATAAAGAACTTTTCCTTTCCACAGACTATAAAAGAAGACTAATCCACAAACTGAAAGCCAAATCCTTCAGTCTTCCCTCTGCTGAGTCTTAATGCAGAGTATAATACTTGGCAAGCAGTAATCACATCGTAAGTGTTGCCTAAGGCCTGACTCGTACAGGATGAAAAGTCAGCGAGTGGTAAGTTTCCAAATGACCTCTGTCAGCTCCTAAAAAGAAAAAGCAAAGACAGCAGCTGGAAAGGCCAGCTCAAGCACAACTAAATGGGGATTCGAGAGCAGAAAAGTGTCCTTGCATCCCCATCTAGTGGCTTTTGGTAAAATAAACCTGTAGTCCCTCTTGGGCATTTTCTCCTCTACGTGCTAATGCAATCTGCTAAATGATAAACACATTGCTAGACTTTGTGTCAGAAGTGCTGGGCTGAGTCAAAGCTTCTCAATTTGATGTATTTCTTTGAATTCAATTTTTTATAAATATTCCTCAGTAAGTTTTCGGGCTTTAAGGTTTTTCTTCATCTCTGATCACTTTGTGGCCAAAACTACTGTGGTAGCAGAAAACTGCTGGGCTCCAAAGGGACCAATGGGTACGTTTGCTGCCTGGCATAAATACCAAGGTTTGACAGATCGCAGAACTTACCATGACTGTAAGAGAAACATTAACCCAACTTTCAACAAAATGTTAATTTAGCTAAGGACATTCTTTTTAAGAGTAGGACTAACCAGAAAGATTCACAGATCAGCCAAACCTTCTGTGTAAGGTGAGCATCCCCCACTGGACTCGTACCCTCTCTTCCACTGTTTGCTATTTACCCAGAAAAGGGTGACTCATCACCTCATTCCACAGATGGCATGAAAAGAAGTATTCCAGGATTGTAACAGATTTTTGCCTGGCAGACTGGTTTTCCTGGGGTACCTTGGCTGCTCAGAGAGTTCAGGCCTCTTCTCTTTGGAGGCAGTGCCATGTCACATCTGCTGTGAAGACTGGGCTCAGCCTTGCTTTAAGAGGAGGTAAGCTAACAGAATTTCAGTTCTGATCTTTCATTTAAGGTGCAATTAAAATGTAATCAGTAATAATGATAATTCACTGGTACTTTTGTGTTAGATGCTCTCTGAGCTCTTTACGGCCCTTATGGGAGCTCAGCACCCACGGATCTCTGGGTTTGCCAGCAGTTTGCATCATGTTGCAACATTCTGTGATCCAAACTGCTCAGCTACAACTCCTGGACCTGCAGACTTACTTGCTCCCAGTTACAGGTTAGTTGGTGAGCCCCACTGAGGCAGAGGAGCACCAATTCAGCACACCAGCACAGCTGAGAAACCTTAACATAAAGCAAAGCTCCTGTGGTGCTGAGCTCTCCTGGATGTACCCCTCCCCAGCAGCCCTCTAAGGGTCATGCATCACAGCCTTGTTTCTCAACAAAAAACTCCTGTCCCCCTTAGTCTGTCCTCTTGAACCAGAAAATCTTCCTCAGGACCAGTCTTTATGGCCTTACTATTTGCACTGCTGACTTTGAGCTCAGGACAAACCCTCCTTGGCTGACAATTCTCCATGATACAGCAGGATGTTACAGATGCCTTGGTTTTGGAGCACTGTACCTGTCGGATGTGTTTAATCCTGCCAGTGCTGTGCTCCCAGCACATGTCAGCAGCAGCAGCACAGGTACAGCCATGGGGATTTAAATTCTGAGCGTATTTTCCTGGCTGAAGACCCACGAGCTCTGGAGGGGTGAAGGGCACGCGCCTCTGCTCCTGGCTTTGCTCTCAGATATCATTTTTTTTTGAACACTGTATGGTCTGTAGGGGAAGAGCTGGTCTTCACCTTGAATCAAAGGGCCTTTTCTGAAGGCGGTCACGTTGGATTCTGTCTGCCCTTGCCTTAGCTCTGTAATTACAGCTACATAAGATATGACCTGCAGTCAAATAGTTTGAAAAGGGTGTTTTTGAAAGCTCTTGAAGAACTGCACCAGCAGCCAGGCTCCAGTAAAGAGGCAGGAAGGGCTGTGTTAAAAAAAAAATAATTGATCTCCACACCTAGATGCTTTGTTATTTTGTGAGGTTGAATTGAAATGTGGCTGAAGTGGCCGGGCCCAGCAGCAGTGAATGCTGTGGCCCCAGGACAGACAGGTTCTGCTTTTCGCATGTCATCTTTTTCAGTATTTATCAGAAGTCCTTTCTTTTTCCTATAGGAAAAAAAAACCTGTATACACATTTAAAAACAAATACTGTTCTTGAGCTCCAAGACCTACTGCTGCCCAGGAGCTGCTAAATATTTAATAGGATTAATGCAAAACAAAACCTCTTCCTTTAATGGCAAATCTTGTCTTTAACTATCAAGAAAATGGGTACTCCAAATTTCTGGTTACCTTCCTCTCTACCAGAACCTGCCTAATGTAAATAACACATTTGAATCAAATGTTTCACTTAGGACAGTACAGAAACTGCTGGCTATACCTTAGAAAATGTGTCTAGGAAATTGAAATTCTCTGATGAAACCATTGTAATTAAAAAAAAGAAACACTGCTGCAGAAGAAAAGAGCTCTGCTCACAGGAAAATCAAAGTTACATTGCATGGGCCTTAATCAGTTGTTTTAAGTGGAGCTGGGAGGATCTCAAACAATAAACTAGCAGTGCCAAAAAGAACTCCGTAAAAATGCCGAGGACCTTCCTGACACTCATCAGCCTAACACTCGACCAATATTCAGATGATAAATTCATTGAAATTTGATTTCCAAATGCCAAGGCTTTCCTGCCTGAAGGCACAGTCTGATGCTTGTCATGGTGGGCTGACGGAGGTGTAGCGCTGAGGGGGCTGAGCACCATGGGTGACATCGGCTTTGGGCAGGCTCACCCTGGGAAAAGTGAGTGACCTACTTCTGCACGACCAGCCCCAAACTGATTTCCACAGCCACAGCATGTGGGGAAAATCACTGTTGCTTTGTTTAATCTCACACTGCAGCCTGGCTCAAGATTTAACCATCATCTCCCTAATCAAAACCCCCAGCTTTTCCAATTCACACGAAAAATGCAGTTCAGAGCGGATTTAGTCATGAGCTTGCCAGAACAACCAAAGCACAGGGTCTGAAGGGTATATCCTCCAAAGCCACCCTGCCACCAATTCCTGCCAGCTCAGGCAGCTGCCCACAATGTGCTGTTGTTTCCAGCAACAGGGGAACAAAGGCTGTTGTTGTAGGCTAATGCCGGCTCAGTTGTGGCATGCGCCTAAGTGGGCTGTTGGAGCTGCGGGGATGGGAGGACACGGGGGGGCCAGGGAGGCGTATCAGCCCCCGGTGGATGTACAAGGAGGTTTCCAAGCTCCTGGAGGCTGAAGGGCTCTCTACATCTCCTATTGCTCCGGGGAGGTACGGCTTCCTGCTGGAACCTGTGGGGTACCCATCCCTGGTGACAGCATGGGGGGGTGGATGGGTTCCTGGGCCTGGCTGGGCAGTGTGGCTTAGCTGGGACAAGGTGGAGGTGGCTGGGGGACACGAGGCAGTTGTGGCTGCAGCATGTGGGGCTCGGCTGGGAAATGCCAGGTGCCATCCACCACTGCGCAGGTGGTGTCTGGCATCTCTGCTGCAAATATTTAGGGACTGAAACAACAGATGTAGAATCATGGCCTGGGTGGGCAAACAGGACCAGGAGCCAAACCTGCATTTTAGACCTAGCAAAGGTATTCCAGTCTTTCCTCACCTTCGATTCAAATATTTTAGTTAGGAGCAATGATGTGGCCATTTCTAGCTTAACTTGCTGCTGCAGACCTGCCTCGGGGTGTTTCCAATTTAAATCCAATTGGAAACCAAATCTAGTATGAATCAAAACAGGTGTCTTTGTGGTGAAGCATCCCTACCTGAGAACATGATCCCTACCCTCCCTGAGCTGTATGAGGCAGGTGGTATTTTGGGGGAGGGATCTCGGCAAGGGAGGAGGGTTTGTTAAATCTGTTCTGCATGTTGCCTTCAGGGAATGGGAGTGGAGAGGATCTTAATGCTGCGCTTCCCACCGCTGGGCCTCACTTGAAAATATAAAGTCCTTAAGTCCTTCTTTTTTTACACTTGTGTTATTAGATTTTAGTCAAAAGAGGCATCAGTCTTGTGGGCGCTGTAGGAGAAAAGGCCAAATCCAGGTGCAGGGAGCACACGGGGTTTTCTGTATTTGCGATTGTCACGACTGAATCTCCTGTTGTGCCATCCCACCCTGGGTGACATCCATCCACGTCTGTCTCAGACAGCTCTCCTCTAAAAATGTTTCCTTGTTTTTAATCCCTGTGGCTCAGCAAGCAGAGTGGGAGCAGGCTGGGCTTGCTGCCCCTCACCCTGGCTCCCCATCTCCCCCATCCCCTTCGTGGGGCAGGGACGGGGGGTCCAGGCTGCCCACAGGGCTGCAGTGCCCCCGGCACTGCCACCGTGCCCCATATTTCCCTGAATCAGAGCTGGAAAGATCACTTGCTCAGGTGTCTGGGCAGCCAGTGAGCCTCTCCTGTCTGGAGAAAGCAGGGATCTCTCAGCGCATCCCCAGCATGTCCATCCCTCAGGCAGCAGCACGGCAAGAATGCAGGAGATCGTCTCCTCCCGCCCAGGGCAGTGAAGATGGAGCAGCAGGGTTCAAAGCCTGTTAAAACGTGATGGAAACGGCCCCCAGGTCTCCCGGCGCTGGCTGAACCCCTCAGCCACTTCCACTCAGGTTTAGAAGTCTCAATCTGTCCCTTTTGTTTCCCTCCCCTTGAAAACAGCGCAGCTGCTGCGCGATGAGGACAGCCCCGCAGACGTCAGGCCCGGTGCGCTGCCCGCCCCGGCCCCTTGCTGCTTCCTCACGAGCTCAGGTTTCCCCTTCCCTCTCCAGTGACGCTGCCTGTCCCAACAGGTGCCGGCAGAGCTGCGGAATCACGCCAGGGTCGCCACCTCCGTCGTGCTGGGTTGAATGGCGCGCACGGAGCGGGGCAGCAGGTGGACATGCTAACATAGGGACCAGGTACCTGGCTAGCCCCCAGCCCCTGCCCAGCCGCCGTGTCCCAGCACGGCACGTGCCACACCATGGACCCCGTCCCAGAGATGAAGAGGTACGTGGATTTTGGAAGGGAGTGAGGGTGCAAGTTTTGCCACCATCCGGCTGGGTGTCAGAGCCAGCCCCTGCTGTCCCTGTGTCACAGATGGATGTGCGCAAGATGGGAGTAACAGCAGGTGCACCCGTGTCCTGGGAGGGATGGGGTCTAAACCAGCCTTTGTGAGGAGACCTTTAGTCCCTTAGCAGCCGAAGTTTAGGTGTAATGGTGAGTTATGAGATGTTCTTGCAATTTGTGTCGCTATAAACATCTTGAATTTAGTGACTTTTTGAACTTAAAGGTGCTGCATCATTTAAAGTGACATTCTGAATTCCCTCTGTGTCCTGCACCTACACTCAGTAATGCAACCTGCTCCGTTCAGAGGGGGGAACAGGTTTAACCTCGCTAACGTTGAGTTCTGACTTAGCAAGGAACCATGTCAGGATCATCTGCCCATGAGCATCTCACTCCCTGGCAGTCACTGCTTCAGTCTTGCTGTTGTGTATTGAGGTGCTGGGATGGACAGCTAGATTTTAAGCCAGATTTTAGAGGAAGTCCATTTGTTCCTAGCAATAATTAAGCCTGTTTCGCCTTCCCAGCAACAAGTGTTAATCTTAGAAACCCTGCCTGGGGAGAAATGGCAAAAGTCTCGGTGAAAGAGTTACCTTGGCATCATCCCTCCTGGTGAATACTTGCGCTGCAGTCTGTCCAGGTCACCTGGCAGGTCTCCTGGGATGGCTGGAAACATTTGACCGGTCAGAAATTGAGTTGTATTCCGGGACCCTAAGAGTAGCTCCGCTCTGCACAGGGGAAGGCACACTGCCCTTCAGCATTTTAGTAGGAGATTTATTCTGAAAACCATGTTGCTTGATTCAGCCAGCTGAGAGTACAGAATAGTCCTCTGTTTTGATAGGCAAAGATAGAAGAGGTTACAGGGTTGAGTGGAGACTGGGGGAACTGGCCTCCAGCCAAGCTGGAGCTCATGGAGATGGGCTGACTTCAGCCTTTCTGTGACGTCTTTTCTAGAGAGAGGTGAAGTCAAGGTGGTGGAACCAAGACCTTTGACATACCTTGTGGGAGCCAAGTACACAACTTTGGCCGTGAACTCAGATGAAAACAACTGGTGTTATAGGCCTCCAGCCCACCCCGGCATCTCCAAGACTTCTGGGACATCTTAGTCTTTTCTTTCCTTCATCAAACAAAGCAGTGTGTTATTTGCACATATGACCACTTCCTTGCTACTTGCTAGCATAGTCATTGCATATTTGTATCTCAGAGCCCCACTACAAGACTCCCGTCTTTCTTTTCTGCCTCTTGGCTCATTTCTTGTTCACTCAGGAGTTTTTTCCCTGACAGAGGGGACTCAGGGGATGCTTACTGCTGTTGCAGACTGCTTATCATGAAGCATTTTCTAACAGCAAAGCTTCGGGAGCAGAAACGTGTCTAAACCCAGGTTATACAAGAATGTCACCTCTAAGTCTTGCTGTGCATCTTGATTTTGAAATGTGGTTACCCAGAAGATGACTATTCCCCTTGCATAGATAACCTCACCCCAACACTTTCTTTGCAGAATTGGGGTCCTTGCTCCAATTTAATGTCATCCCTTCCTTTTGCTAGTGGCACCTCATCCCTGTTTCATAGATGAGGCACACTGTCAAAGGAAAGTGAAGATGTGACTTAATTGCTGGAAATCTTCACAGAACCCCCCTAAACTAAGAATGAAAACACATGACTGAGTGAAAACATTTATTGTCAAATGGCCTTTTGCCCCTTGAGTCCTGTACCTTCTAGAAGTTACCAAGGTTGCAGACAGAAAAATCCTAAGATAAAAAAAAAAGTCACAGCAGAAAGATCCATGAAACTTTGGGCCAAGTAGATATTTTAGCACTTCAGATGCTGAAGCTCACTATAGCCTTTTCCTAATTTCACTGCTATTTCTTTTACTCTGTTCATGATTAAAGGTTTCACAGAGTGTGTATGTGATATCCACTATATTGACTGCTTAATGATTCTTCAGAGACAGGAAAAGCTTCCACAGCACATCTCAGACAAGCACTGGTGCAGGTGGCCAGTCTGTTGCTGATACTTACAGGTGATCAGCTAACTGAGAAATTTTGACTTTCTTTAGCCTAGTCAAAGAGAACAAACAGTATTGATTATCAGACAAGGAAAGTTTGTCCTGGAACATCTTCTCTTTGTTCTGCATTTTCAATGCAGCTTCAAAAAAGCATACAGGTTCTTCAAATAACTGAAGTGCTATACTTTCCTTACAGGAATAGGTTCCCCAGCATGAACTTTGAAGCAGAGATTCTGACAGCTCCACACGATAACTCAGGTATTTGGGAGAAAAAGAAAAAAATAAAGAGATTAAAGTAAAATGCCCACTCAGCTTGCTATCACTGCAAACATGTTTGAGTTCTTCTGGAGTTTGAGATTGATTAAAAAACAAAACAAAACAACAAAACCCCAGGATGCTAAACTGACTGCAGTTCAGGTGATTTCAGGTTTTAGGGTATATGTCAAAGTGTTGAGGATAGATGTTGGTATACTTACCTCCAATAGGGCTGGATACATGTAGGATCTCCATACATGCCTACCAGAAACACAGCTGCCAATGATGTGATTTGGAAACAGCACAGTTTCGTATGAGACATACAGTTTTCTTACTAGTGCAACTAAAAGCTGATAATTAAAAAGCAGCTCCTCAAAAGGCAAAACTGATGATGAAGATGTTCTGCTGAGTTCTGTCCTTCATTCTCATTTTATTTAGGAGGAAAAGCTGATTTTTTTCCTGTTGAATGCTACCTTTCCTATGCTGATCTCACATGTTGAGGCTGGCACTATGACTGCCTTCCTACTGCAGCCCTCTGAGATAGACCCCAGGGCGAGTACTCAGCTCATGGAATCTTCTCATGAGCCTTAGTTTTACTGTTGCTCCTCAGACCCAAGCAGTTGGTTAGAGCAGGGCTGTCCTTAGAATGAGACAGTGATAAAGTGAGTCTTTGCAATAATTGCTTGCAACCTGGGTATTAGAGCTAGAACTCTTGTTCTCAGCCACACATGTTTAAGCGTGAGCCTATTCAGATGAAATGCTTTTGCTGCTGGTGTCCCTCCTGCCCACAACCTGCAGTTCCTAGTCAGAAATTCACCTCTCTGGCAGTGCATTGCAGTCCCATGCTGGCAAGATTCAGAAATCAGGTGTTCGGTGTTGACTATATTTGCTTCAGCTGCAGGTGGCAGTTTTTGCGTTGCCTTCTCCCTAACAGCAAGTGTGCCAACAGCTGGTGATTTCAGTTACACAATCCAGCATATGTGTGAGCGATGGCCCCTCCAGGTTTGGACCTGCTAGGCAATTCCCTTCACCTTCTTGCCTTGATTCTTTCAGAAAAACTCTCCAGTTACCTCCCTTTCTGTAAACTGAGTACCCCATATCTGGCTGAGCATTTTGGAGTTATTTTCCTCAGGCTGACCTGTAGTAATAAAGCACTTAACAAATATGCTGATAGAATAGGACATCTAAGAATAATTTTCAAAACCGGATTGTGAACAGGTTGGGAAGTGTTATGAACGGCTCCTAGCCCATGTGTCCTCTGTACCATATTCCCAAATCTCTGGCTTCTTTTGTGTTGGGTTTCTTCCACAAGGTAAGTGCTTTCATCCTTCATTTGCCTTGAAACCACTAACACACAATTTGTATTTGTTTCTCAAGAGCTATATGTGATCCCTTCCATGAGAAGTCTCACAGCTGAGGAGTATGTAGAGGCCTTCAAGTCATTTTTGGATCATTCAACAGAGCATCAGTGCATGGATGAGTTCAACAAGAAAGAATTGCCCAACATCATGGCTGGGTAAGAAAGCACTTCCACCAAGGTGGGAAAGGCATGTTATCCTGGAAGGGCAACCTGCATTCAAGGATCAGAAAACATGTTTATGGACTTTCTGGAGCAGGAATGAACTTTTAATGCTACTAATTTTTAAGTCCCTTAATTGTGATCTTTAGGATTGAAATGGTTTAAGCCCAGTCAGCAACTAAGTACTATGCAGCTGCTTGCTCACCCCCCTCCCTGTCCTGGTGGGATAGGGAGGAGAATCAGAAAAAGGTAAAACCTGTGGGTTGAGATAAGAATAATTTAATAATTGAAATTAAGTAAAATATTATGATGATAACAACAGCAACAACATTAATATTAATAATTGTAATAATAATAATAATAGCAATAATGTAATGAAAAGGGAAACAACAAAAAGACAGAGAAATAAAATTCCCCCAAAACCCAAGTGGTGGACAATACAATTGCTTATCATCCACTGACTGATACTCTGCCTAATACAAGCAACTGTCAGTCCCTCCAGGCAAACTCCCCCCAGTTTGTACACTGGGCACGACACACTGTGGTATGGAATACCCCTTTGGCTGGTTTGGGTCAGGTGTCCTGTCTCTGTTTCCTCTTGGCTTCTTGTGCCTCTACTCACTGGCAAAGCATGAGACTGACAAGATCAGTCACTAAGACAAGATCAGGGTAACAACTGAAACATTGGTGTGTTATCAGCTTTGTTCTCAGACTAAATCCAAAACTAAGCACTGCACCAGCTACTAGGAAGAAAATTATCCCAGATAAAACCAGAACAAGGATATTCCGTTTAATGACTCCAGAATACATGCCATTGCAACTAATACACTGCATTGCCTCTCAGCTTAAGGAAAGAATCAAGACCTAATTTTCATGTCCATCCTTTTTCATTAGGTCATTTTCCAAGGATTAACGGTTTTGGGGTTTTTGTTTGTTTCTTTCAAAAGAAAGATCTCTTGTGCTTTCTCCCTGCATTTGGGACATTTGGACATCAGCCCAAACAGAAACACATCTCTAATTCCCTTCTAGTGACTAATTCTTGGTTTTCTCAGTCCCCTAAGACCTCCTTATTTCTATCCTAAGTCGATTTGCATTGCTTAAGTACCAAATGATAATCAGTTTGTGAAGTATTGATGTAATACATTAAGACTGGATATCCGCAGATAGTTTTAGAACAGCCTAGATACAAACCACATGAAAGCCCTTTCAAGTTGGGTAATTTTTGGCTGTTACAGAAACTCTATTCTCCATTGAGAAAAAAAAATTAGGCAGTCAAATTTTTATTCTCCATATCAGATATATATAAAAAGCATTAAAATACTAATAAAAAAATAATTTTTTTTTGAGATTTAATTTAATTATTTATGTGAATTTTAAATTATGTAAAACATTGCAGCTTCCTATGATGATGGTTATGGGCCTGTCAAAGGGTCTTGGCCCTAGTTAGGGCTAAGCTCTTGACTAACTCACACCCTCCAGGATTTCCTACTTGTTCTCCTCTTGTTGAATCATTTCTGTGGAGTCTCCTGAGATTGTGTATGGGAAACTCAATCACCCTGCACAGTCCATGCCTCAAAGCAGTACAAGGCCATAAAGCATGTCGGAGCAGTAAGGAGCCTCTGGCCTGGGCTACTCTTCCTCAAGCCAGTCTGTAATTATATATTCTGCTATGAACCACGTGATTGGGGTTTTTTTGGTCTTCTCAAAAGTAGTATTTCTAAGATAAAAAGTATTGAAGATTCTGACTTTCCCTCCCAATTTCAAATCAAGATTGATTTTTAAAAGGTAGACTTTCCAATCACCTGAATAGCCTCATCTTTTACTTTCTCTGGGTATTTATGTCCAATATTGGAAAATCAAACTTCTCTCCTTAAGGGGTATGGGTTTCACTTTGGCTCACCTTGTCCCTGCATGCCCAGCAGTGCCCATCCCAGCCAGACACAGCACTGCTACCCCCAAAGGGAACCCCTCACCCTCGGATTCCCTGAGGCATTTTTCCATGGTGCCATTCACTGCATGAAGGAAACATTCTGGCAAAGGATAAGAAACACTATGTCCTGATGCCTACTGTACTTTGATATGTGAGCTTGCTAATATGGGGCTGGCTCCCACCACGCAGCTGGTTATAGCTGCTTTCCAAAGTGATGCTTGAATTTCTAGCCTAATTCATGTGGCAAAACAGGAAAATTTCCAGGCAAATGTCACATCTGAGATATTAGAATTGAAACATGAAGTCGTGTGACATATTGTGGTTAAGTAGTATGTATTTGTAATTTCAGTCTCGGCAATGGAAAATCAACTATAAATGTTCTGGGCGTTGGAAGTGGCACAGGTAAGGAGCTTAGCAGCACTCCTGATGACAGGGGCTGGGGGGTCCCTATGGGTTGCAGAAGGTGATGCCAAAATTCTGAGCAAATCAGGTTTTAATAACATGTTTCTCATTGAGGCAGAGAATAGCAATATGGGGTGTTGAGCCAGGATGAGAGAAATCTCCTCTCCTTCCCTCTCACATCTCCCTTCTGAAACACTGCTTCTCAAATCTTTCTGAGAAGTGAGATGAGTGGGATGATTTTGGCTTAGTCTGTTCCTCTTGATGACTCTCACCTGGCTTTGTATGTCTCAAAGCAAGAACTGGGTTAGGTATGAGAGCATCTTCAAGCCTTCTCAGAGAGAATTAAAGAGAACTGAGTGGTTTGTTCCACCCTAAGTCCTATCTTAGACTATCCCATCTGAAAGGACCTCTCTTTCTGCTTTGCTTTTAAGGATCCCCAAGGCCAAAGCTGGGCGATGCTCTGTTCCAGGTGGTGCAAACCACCATTAGCATGGAGCTGCTTCAGCTTTTTCAAGATGTGCGTTTTTGTTACTACTTTGTTTATATCCAGTGATAAGTAAGGTTTAACTGCAAATGGTATTTCCCCCCAGAGAGAAACCCGTGTTTTGGAAAATAGCTTTGAAGGTGTTCTAAATGAATTTGTGTTTAAAATAAAAAAAGTGATGAAACATCCAACTTTGCTCCTAGGGAAACTGGGGATAAATAAGAAGTAGAGAAAAGAAGTGGCACTTTGATTTGTCAGAGTTTGCTTTTGCTTTAAAAAGTACTTTCAGATGAATGTTAAGTGCTAATACTTTCAAATGCAAGTATTTTTCTCACTTTTCTTTTTCTTTTTTTTTTTTTTCCCCTTCTTTTCCTGAGTGAGAGAAAAATAGCATTAAACTATTTTCCCCAGCTGGGAATATTTTGGAGCAGATGAGAAAGCAAGCAGGAAGAAATCACTCAGTTCTCAATTGCATTCTATTTTCATTAAGTATTACAAACCCGAAATTCTGACTCCAGGAAAACACTAGGGGAAAATGAACTTTTTGCACAGTCCTATTTTTTTTTTTATTTCCTTTTCAGAAGGTGTTTTAATAGAAAAGTAAAACCTTTAAAATGTCCTGGGTTTCCTGCCCCTCACAGATGACGTGGTACAGAGTTGCACCCCCTCAGCTTGTCCACAGCTGCAAGAGCTGAACTTCTGTGGCTAGGCAGGGAGTAAGCTGGGATGGCATTGAGCAAAAGGTTATATCTGATCCCTGACCTTTTCAGGCTTGGACTCTGATTTCACAGAGACCCCAGAATTAATTTAGTTGATGAAAATATTAATGGGGATTAGGGACTGACTCTACATCCTAAAATACTGTTGTCAGCTCCAGATCACATTTTCTCATTCGCCCTATGTTTACCCATGGCTGATTTAACTCTCTGGGCTGTAACCTCCCCATTAGTGATGCATGGGCTGCTCTTTGCAGAGCGGTTTCACTCGTGCTTCACCCTCACTGTGGTTAGTACTGAAGAATTGCTGGCAGGGCAAGCTGGCGCAGAGAAATTCCTACTCTGAACCACTGTATTTTACTGCTAGTTTTTGCAGATACCCCAGATGAGGACACTATTCACTGCTCTTGCAAAGACTGGATTAGGGTATTTTACAGAGATGGAGTAAAAAACCCCACCCAAGCAACTTTTATGAAACGTGTTTGCTGTGATACACCTATTTGCCACCAACAGTGGCTCCAGGGCATGGGGTAGCAATGCTTTACCTCCTGTCTGCCCTGAGCCTGCAAGGAGCCCATGTCAGCACCTCTGATTGCTGGTGCTCCCCATCCCAGGCACATACTAACTGGCATTTAGGACTGCCTAAAATGAATCAGCTCCTTCCTATAGGGATCTTCCATCCTGTCAACTATTGGTCCTTCAACATATGCAGCCGCAGCCTCTTTCCTTGTGCTTTTGGCCAGCCCTGCACTGCTGCCACTGCATTCCTCAGGGGTCTTGGTTATTTTTTCTCCAATTTCAAAAGGCTCGTCCTTCCTTGGATGTCCATGTAGTGCTGGCATGGCTTCTGTTTCCCTCCTTGAATTCTATTTACTGCAACACCTGTCAAAGATGAAGACTTTTCTCATAGCTTGTACGTCAGCTAGGGAAGATGCAGTATTTAATATCAAGATCTCTGTGTGTGGCATTTGCATGTGCAGGCCTATTTTTAGGCCCCGCCATAAGCTACAGACAGGATTCACGCAGAGATCCACTTAAGGTGGTCACTTTTGCTGTTTGTTTCTGTAGTCCCAGATGAACCAGAGGTTCTTTGTACACTTGGTGTATTGTGACCTTTCTGGGAGAAAACAGGAGTAACCTGCATCATTTCAAAAGAGGCTGGAAATTTCCTAGGATAGGACAGGATGCTGCTTGCTCCTTCAGAGCTTAGACAGCAACAGAGGAGCACCAACAGCCAAATTTGCAGGGTACCTGCACACAAATATGTGAGTTTCTATTTGCAGCTCCAAAATCGGTCAGTGCTCAGAGCTGAGACCAGGTGGCTGGTCCCTGAAGAGGGAAGATCCAGGTTACTGCATGTCAATGGGTCTTTCCTCTTGCCATGCTGCTCCCTGAGTCTGGGAGCTGTGTCACACCAGAACAGCCATCACGTCCCTGTGGCACTGCCCAAGGCATGGACCACCCTGTGCTATGCTGAAGCTACACAGTTGTGCCAACTGGCTCCTTGCATCAATTCAAACTTTGTGGTTTTGTTGGAAACTAAGGCTTCCTGGTTGTTTTTTTCTAAATATTGACCTTTAATTATTTTGACCTGTTTGTCCCATGACACAGAGTAATGCCACCAGCAGGTTTCTGCACTGTTGCTTATCTCGTCCTTGTTCTTAGTCTTATCTGTAATGATATGTTACCTGAAGCAGTCAAATATCATGGTAAGACTACCACCGGGCTCAATGCCACCATGCAGGCTGCAAGGTAGAAAGTGCCTCCCTTCTGCCTGGGGGATTTTGCAGCAGGGAGGTGGCAGGTACACTGCATCTTTTCATCACATTTAAGTACTTTTTGAAGCAATGATTTTATGTTTATTGAATAGGTGAGCAGGATTTGAAAATGATCAGGATACTGCAGGCTGCACACCCAGGTGTCCTTATTGACAACGAAATTGTAGAGCCCAACGCACAACATGTAGCAGCTTACAAAGGTAAGTCTATACCTTCTGCCTGGGGTACATCAAGAACTGTCTATTTGAATGATGACTTTTTCTGTGAAAATCATCTTTTTCTACTACTTTTTAAACAGAGTTGGTGAATCAAGCTCCAGACCTGGAAAATGTCTCTTTTAGTTGGCACCAGCTCACTTCCTCAGAGTATGAGCAACAGGTGAAAGAGAAAGGTGCACACAAGAAATTTGACTTCATCCATATGATCCAGGTAATGGAGTATTGTTTTAATATAGGAGTGTTAGCTTTAGCCACTCCCTTAATTTCTGCTATATGCATGAAGTTAGGGGACCAGAGCTGAGCACTGGTCTCACTGAGATCTCCCATGAGCCATAACTTCTGCAGCAGCTATACAAACATCAAACCTTATTCTCTATCCACCCTGGTTTTGGTCCCTGGTTTGTACTGGTTTAACTGTGTATGGTAGATAATAAAGCAGGACAAGTCTCAGGCTGTCACACAGAAACCAACAATCATGCTTTGCTGCTGCAAAAGACCTTGATTGTTTTGCCTTATCAGAGTAGTTTGGAGAGCACTGAAGAGAAAGTTTAGTGAAAGAACACCTGTGTCAGGTTTTGGGTCAGAAATGTTGCTGCTGTGTCTCTGATACTGATGACATTGCTGTTGTATGTGCAAAATAATATTTTGTAAAAAATCCATTATTCTTTTGCTTTAGTGGCTTTTCTTTCATTTTCCTTTCATTACATCCTGCTTTCATTTCATAAAAGCTGATTTCACAACCAGAAAGTGTTTTGGGGATTTGATGGATGTGTCAAGTTACAAGTCCCGGTGGCAGCCTTTGAGATGAGCTCTGCTTTGCCTTAGCGCAAACTCCTCAATATCTGGAAGAGACCCATCCTACCCATGTCCCAGGCATGTCTGAGAAATGCCCCTGGTGATAAGGACCACCCACACAAACCAGGAGACTCCCCTCTGTGGGCAGTTCAGCACCTGGCTGGTGGCTGAAGCTGAGCAGAAGGTCCCTGGGTCTGGCCCCCAGGCTGTTGGTGCCAGTGGAGAGCTGGTGATGCTCAGTCCTGTGGGGCATCCTTAACTGTGCATGCTGAGCCAGGACAGGCTGGGAAGCAACTGTGAAGTAGCTAAAGCCAACTCTATAGAGAAAGTGTTTAAGCCTTTGAAGGGCCATTGCACTATGAAGGAGGAATAGTGGCTGTGTGTAACTCTGTCCTAGATGCTGTACCGTGTGGAGGATATTCCCAGTACTATCAAATTTTTCCACAGCTGCCTTGACCATCATGGTAAACTCCTGATCATAATTTTATCAGGTAAGAGGCACCTTTACTTTTTGTTTCTCAGGATTTCAGTAGCACTTATTCTTCTAGAATAATTAAATAAAACCAGTGCTGTATTTCATAGGGAGCATGTAACCTTGAGCTTAGCCTCTTAGACCCCAATATGTGATGGGACCCCTTTGTGGCATTGTTTCCATGCTTATTAAATAGATAAATAGCTCCATAACTAAAAGAGACCTCCTGCTGTGAAATTACTGGTTAGAGAGAAGTGTGGCTATTCATGAATGAGGGTCAAACCTTCATGGTGAAATCATCACTGTAAAAACATTACCTGAGCTCTGGGAGGACCTGTCTTTGGGTGTATGCTTCCTCCCCATGTTTGCCGTTAATACTCCCTCTCATGTTGCTGGTAGGCTGTTTCCCTTGCTAGCTTGGACTGTCTTTTTCAGCTACGTATTCTTCAATATTCACTTAAAATTGAGGTTTGATGTATAAAAACATCTACAATATTTTAGCAGAGGGCACTTAATAGGTAGTGTGCATGTGCAGCCTCAGCACACTGGTACCTCTGTGTGTAATCCTTCTAGCGAAATCCAGTGCCTGAGGCCATCTCCCATGAATTTTCTTTTAATGGGAGAGTTTTGGAAGAAGTGGGGAGACCACAGATTTACTTCTCCCTGGGCATGGATGTTTATAAGTGGACTCAAGTAAAGGGAAAGCTCTGGGTCAGCAGCACGGGAGCATTTCAAACTCATGTAGTAGTTGCATTAGCTGGTGTTTGACTGCTTTGGCTTTGCAGAAGTAACCTTTCCTCCTGTTCTGTCAGACAGTAGTGGATGGGCCAGCTTATGGAAGAAGTACAGACACTGTTTGCCTTCCACAGACAGTGGCCACTACATCACCTCCAACGGCATCACAGATATTTTGAAGAGACTTGGTATTGAATACCGCATTTATGAGTTCCTGTCGGGCTGGGATATCACTGAGTGCTTTATTGATGGGGACCTGGTTGGAGGCTGCATGATGGATTTCCTGACAGGGACAAAAAACTTCCTGGGCACGGCCCCTCCAGGTCTGAGGCGGCAGCTGCAGGAGGCTCTCTGCCAGCCAGAGTGCAGCAGCAAAAAGGATGGGAGGATCATCTTCAGCAACAACTTGAGTATGATTGTGGTTGATTCCTAGAGTCCGGACCAACTGTAGAAGACAAATTAGGTGGGTATGGAGGCAATGCAGTTGCAGAAGGGTGTAGCATAGAAAGAAGGCAACTCACGGGCAAGAAGGTGAGAAAGTGAGGCTCAGCTGCAGCCTCTCATTCCCAGCCAGGGCCACCTGTGACACCAGAGATGAGCTCTTTGTCCTGCTGAGGTCATCGGGGCCAAGATTTCACCCTGGCTATTCAGTCATAGAATCATAGAATGGTTTGGGTTGGAAGGGACCTTAAAGATCATCTATTTCCAACCTCCCTGTCTTGGGCAGGGACACTTCTGCTACACCAGGTCCTAGTCTAGCCCTAGGAAAACATTTTGCAGAGAGTGAAGAGCTTCATCTCACTAAAAGCCTACATGGACTTGGTTTTGGACAGTATGCATCTTGTCTGTGCTTTTGACACTGGGATTTCCACTTTTTTTATAAAGCCAGCATGTTTACATGCCTATATGACCAGGTGCTGTTTTTCAGCTGGGATGAAGCTGCAGCCTCCGTGCCGGCTGCATAGAGACCCACTGCTTCCAGCTGTGCCAGGGCAAGATTGGAAAGGTGTCCCTACTGCTTTGCACCCAAGTAATGTGCCTTGTTGCACCCAGATACGAGATGTACGTTGCTCTGAGCTAGGCTTTTTCACATGCGGGTATCAGTGTAGGTATTCACTGCCAAAATCATCTCAGCACCTCGTAATATAGGCATGTCTTAAAAAATTACCAGTTATTATGTTTGGAGATGTTTTTGGATCCCAGGACGATAGCTGCCCTGTGTTCTTTCAGGCAGACATTAATTTAGCTACTTTCTTACTACTGTTTTTCTCCATTTAAAATAAAAACAATCTTAAACCAAAAAGGTCACATTTTTTTTTTGCACATGTGGGCTTACAGAAAATGAAGAGCAAAGAGGTTATTTAGTTAAAAACAAAACAAAACAAAAATGCCATTTTATGGAAACATTAAGGGTTTCTTGTGAGAAAGATGGGCCTGAGGATGTGGAAAAGCTGTGAGCGAGCTGCAGCTTGTCCTTATGCTGCATCTGCGGAAGGGAGCTTGGCTCACTCGAAGCCACATAGCTGCAGTGCAGCAAAACAGAACCGATGTTACTTAAATATAATGTATGTAGTTAAGATGTTAATACAGGTAAGTTAAGATTATTTCCACAGGGACCTGAGTTGTTCAAAGGGCTGAAGGATGTGCCCCCGGGGCCCAGCTCTAGAGGGAGATGCTGCACGGAATGTTAGTGAGGCTTGGCATTGCATTGTCTCGTCGTGCTGTGCCTGAGCGTAGGGGGGGAAAGCTGCCTGCAGTCCCACTGGCTTCATTGCAAATAGCTCTCAGGGCAGGAAGCACCAGCTCAGATACCTGCAGGCACAGAGCCTGCCACTATAAACTGATTTTTCTGTGCTTAAGCTGGAAAGCACATGTCTGTGTGTACCCTAAGGACCTGCCTTAGTGATGCCTGTTATTAATCAAAAGGCTTGTTCCAGCATCATGAGCACGTGGCTCAGCACATTGGCTTGTAGACTATTACATGCTATGATCCCAATAAACCTACCTGCAGCCCACACACCATCTCTCTGCCCAGATAGACTGACCAGTATCAGTGTTCATATCTGAAAAGGTAATGTCAGTTCATACAGTCATCGTGGCTCTACTTTGTCCTTTGTTTTTTCAGTGTTTGTTTTGTTTTTTGCTTGTTTGGGTTGTTTTGGTTTGGGGCGTTTTTTTTTTTTATTTAGTTTGGTTTGGTTTTCTTTGTTTGGGTTTCTGTTTTGGTTGGTTGGTTTTGGTTTGCACTTTTTTTCATACCTTTTTGACATGCAGCCATTTGTCCTGAAACCACTGTAAGGAATAAAAGAGAAAAGCAATGGAAAACGTAACATCATCTCTCTGTCTGGACTGCAGCACACTGGTCTGTAAGTACTACTGCTGTCAGTCTAAGAAACATCAGTCAAAACCGGACAGTCTCCTCCAGAGTATTCCATACCTATGCACAAGCCTTTCATTTTGATCCATTTTATTTTTTATTCTGAAGGTATCTATCTCCTTTGCTTGTGCTTGCTTGCAGCACTGGGCAGTGAGTGTACTGCTGGGAGGCTCTCAGCACTGCTCTCATCAGTGTTCTCCTTCCACGGTTAATGCCCATGGTATACTTCCAAGTGTTGGTGATGTCTCTGTCTCTACGTGGCAGATTAAAAAGAAAACCAAAATATACCAAAAAAACAGTCTTGCTTTTCAAGCTCCAAAGAACTATCTGTTAGTCTTTGCAGACATTTGGAACAGCCCAAGTTCCCCCAGATCTTCCTCAAACCAAGAGGTTTTTAACCCTCCTTGGAGTTTTCTGTGCAGGTAGACATGTTTCTGGTAAGCAGATACTCAGCAAAACCTGTGAGCACCAAATTTACCCACACCATTGTAAATCAATGTGCAAATGCTCAGAAGAAAAAGAGCTCTTCAAAGCAGACTCTTTAGTGACAGCCTAAGGAGATGAAACAGGGAAGCCCATTAAAAACATGACTGCTTAATGCTTTATCTGTATTTTTTTCTTTTGATTCTTGAAAAGCAAGTTATTTAAAATCAATCCTGCCTGTTCACCTGGAACAAATGCTATCCTAAGTGTGTGTTCCATTTATTTATATACATATTTATTCTTGGGCAAATACGCTATTTAATAACTACTTGTGCTTTCTAAAATAGGCTCTCCTCCCACAGGGAACTTCTGCCTGCGCATTCCCAGAAGCCCGGACGCAGCAGCGCAGTTGGGTCTGCGTGGCCACGAGAGGGCTGCAGCAGCCAGCGGATTAAATCCGCCTCCCAACACACTTGAGATGCTGAGCTGGAGGCAGAGTCAAGCAGCCAGGCAGGCGGATGGGGCACTTGTTTAGCTCAGCTTTCTTTGCTGGGTCACTGCATCCTGATTCTAGCTGTTGGGGACCACGCTTTTTTCTTCCTGAGAGTCATGTTCTTGATGGCAAGCTCCAGGTCATAAATAAGTCAAAATTGCACAGCAGAGGTGCCAACAAGGTCTACACAGGTTTTGCTCGTGGGTTGTTTTTTTTTTTGTCCTCACTCAACAACTGAAGTGCTGCAGCTTGGCTGACTCTCAAGCTGCAGAGAGCTAACCAGGGGCTGCCCGGGGCAGAAAAACACAAGGAAGGGGGTGTCAGGAGTAAGAGGTTGCTTCTGCTTTACCTTTGAGTTGAATTAAGCTCAGTCCAGGATGACCCCTACTCCTCAGTGAGTTTCATGGCAATTTGTAGTGCTGCAGTTAGGAAGGAGCAGGTCCAGGGCTCTCTGAGGGAGCTGTGCTGCTCTGTCAGCATGATAGCTTGCTCCAGCCCAAAGTGAATGCTTTTGTGAACATGTAGTAAGCTGCTGCGTGTACTCTGGAGTAGAAGTAATATCTACACAACCCAAACTGCATTATTTTTAAATGCTTCAGCTACAGGTTTTATCCTTACTTCAAGTTAATAATATGCCTATTTCAATGGCATGTCATTGCTCTGATTGTGTATTACAGCCTCTTAAAAATGAGTTACAGAAAGCAGCTCTTTATATATCAAGGAAGGAGAATTTGTTTTTTATTGGGCTTGTATTTAGTTTTGGGGGCTGAATGGTTTACCTTTGTAGTGAACATTAAGCCTTTTCTATCCATGAACATTAGGAGGGGAAAGAAAGTAGCACAGGAAAATCTAATAGCTCTTTTCAAAATAATCCCATTGAAAGACAAGCTCAGTAAAATACTGGAGCATATATTGAAAAAATTAAAATTAACCTCAATCAGGGAACAAAACGTAAAAATACAGATGCTGACTTCCTCCTCACACCCTTCAATATTTGCCCACAGAAATATATATCAAGGACATAGAAAATCTTTGGTTACTCCACACATTCTTCATAAAGAAATATATCAAATAAATGCATGTCTGTACAGTGAGATCTCTAACAATCATGAGCCATACAGCATCTGTATTAATAGTTTTCATTGAGACACCAAGCTTTGTTCTGTAGTCTTCAGATTTGAGACGCTAGTTCTGGAGGTCCCTTGAGTGAGGAAACCTGAGGCACAATCTAGACGTGGTGGAGAGGCTGCCACAAAGTTGTACTTAGGAAATCCCAGGAAGACTCACGACATGCTTATGCCTAGAAATAAGTTTCCATCTGCCTTCAATCCATGCATGGTTCAGAGCTGTTTCCTTGAAAATATTGTCAGACAGTCCTTGGTAGGAACAGAATTTGGGTTTCCTGAGAGACTGACTGTTCTCAACGAGCTTTATGGTGGGAAGGGCAGGAGTAACTGTGAGCTCAACATGCTTTTGATTGAGTTAGTCCTGATGACCCAAACCATAAACCATCTCTGCATGCTCCATATCCAGCAGAGAAGGCAGCAAAAGCCAGACAAATCTCCCTGAAGCTGCTGGCTGTGCGTCTTCGTACTGGTGACAGGATCATACTGACATTCCTGGAGCTTACAAAGGCCTTCATAGGTCATCATTCTAAGGTGTTTATCATGCTACTTTTTAAAGTACAGTATTTTTTGAAGGCCATATCCTCCAGACTGAGAAGAAATATCCAAACCAAGTCTAAAATATCTTTTTGGTTAACCATTGCTCTTTGGAGTCATTCAAATCCAGTACTGAAGTATCAACAGAAACCTAAATCTTGCTAGATGGCAAGAATCCTGGTTAGGTCTCTGAAGACGTCTATGGACCAGTGCATGGTCCCTCTACTATGTACCAAGCTGCTGGGACACCTGACAGCAATAGCCTGGAAATCTCCTTGGTTTTGTACAATGGATGGCTCTAAAAGCTCCCTTATCAATGCAAAGGTTCCTTTCAATCAGTCCTAAAACAGGAAAACAAATAAACTGACAGCTTATCCCTCTAATACAAATATGTTCATGTGATCTGCCTGGCACGGGAGCTGGGGCTGCAGCCTGGACACCCAGAGGACATTGTGCAGCAGCCCTCCTACACTGTCTTATTTAAGGCTGCTGGTTTTAGCTAAAGCAGCAGCTGATACAAAATGTAGGCTATGTGATGTACATTCCCCATTCTCCTTTAAAGTCTTGTTAAAAATAAAATTAATCATAAAAATCCCTCGGAGAGAAATGTTTCAAGTACGAGCTAGAGCTGGAAAGATCTTAGGTCTGACCAGGGTTTGTAGAACATGTGAGACAGTCAGATCCCAGATGGGCTTTTCTTCTCATCTCTAAGAAGGAACAGGGAAGAGAAGAACAGGAGTTTCATTTCCACTAGTTGCTTCTTGATAGTCTGATAACACTTTTGATAAGACCTGCTAGCAAGCTGGTAGAGAAAACATATGTTTTGTCATACACTGTAATCATGGTACCTCTGGTGAATTTAGAACTGTGATAAAGAAATTTTCAGAGAAGTCTCTAAGTCCCTATTGCTTTGTTAACATTTTTTAGCATCCTATTAATCACTCTCTATGTACCTGTCAACAGCTGATATTATGGATTAAGGAAGATTACAGCTCATTGCTCCAGTGGCTGTTTTCTTTAGGATTTAACTCTATGGGCACTTTGCCATTGACTTCACTATGACAAGACCAAATCCCTTGATTTCATGAACACTTTTCAATGCTTTCCTGACTCAGAGTGGGTTTACTTTATAAGATATCTGAATGATCATCCAGAAGGTAAATGTTTTTATTTTATTATTTCTGGAAAGGCTGATATACTTTCAGTGCTGAACAAACAGTGTGTAAGATCTTGATTTGCAGATGTTTTCATGTAGATAAATGTTGACTTTGGTTTGACATGCTTGTGCAGATCATGTCATTTGTTACTTGGGAAAAGGAAACAATATTTCAAAAACCTCAGATTAAAATTCTACCGAT